ATCTATCTATCTATCTATCTATCTATCTATCTATCTATCTATCTATCTATCTATCTATCTATCTATCTATCTATCTATCATCTCTGGAAAAATATTAATAAATAAAGGCATGCATATAATTATTAAATACATAATAAACACTTTTACTCACTGTTATAGGTGATATTAAATCCTCGGCCTGACATTGAATGGTCAGCTTGAAATTCCAAGCGTAAAATGTGGCTGTTACTAGTCAGATGGGATGGCACTTCAGCTCCAGTGAATGTGCCAAGTATTGGAGAATCAGGAGAATCACCGTCTTTAATTGCAAGAAAGTCAAATTGAGATTCCAGGTCAAAATCATTGAAAGACAGATGAATGCGGCTCCCAGGGTCTGAGATGACTGTCCAGATGCAATTCAAATTATTCCCATATCCTTCTGGGTAGTCAGGAGACAGAACAGTTCCCATTGGTGCCGTGAAATTAGATAGGCAAGGAACTGTCAAAAGTCAGGAAAGAAATTAGAAAAGAGATAAGAACCCAGCTAAAATTGATATTCTGAGCCCTTCCTCTCAATATTTTATTTCAATATTCTTATTCATTCATTCCTTTATTGAATTATTTTTCATCATCCCTCTCACTAGTTTGCAATGAAATAAAATACAATGTTGCCATACTTCCCCAGAGAATTATCAATTAAAATGATTGATAAATTAATATCAATTATAATAAATATATTTATAACTTTTTAAAATAAACTGATAAACAATTAAAAATGGTTTATAAGGATTGATTCAACAATCTTTTTAAAAAGGCAGCCCAAAGTTTATGGGTATTGTTTAACTCTAAATTTAGCCCCATTTGCTGAATTTAGAGTATAAAGTATGCATTAGCAAGAACCAGTTATCTGGTTCCATTCATCCTGGAAAAAGTGCAATATTTCATTGAATGAGAAGTATGAAAACTGAACCAAACAGCTATTACTGAATGGAAGAGAATATTTGTAGCTCAGGGTTGAACTGTGGAGTTCCCAGTGTTCTCTGAGCTTGGTGGGTTTTTTTTTGCAGACATTTTGTCACCAGACTAGGCTACATCATCAGTGCTTAGTACTGAATGATTAGGATTATAAAGAAAAGAAGATCCTTCCTAGTCTTAGTCTCCCAATAAAATATTAGGGATGCAAAGGCCTTCCATTTTTTTAAATTTTTCCTTGGTTTAAGAAGCTTTATTTTTTTTAAAAAAAAAGTATAGGAAAAAGGGCAATGATATCCTATCATTTAGATAATTGATTATTTAGATTGTTAGATATACATGATGATCATCCCCTCCTCTTTTTCCTCCCACTTCTCTGTTCAGGATCTAACAGTATCTTTGGCATGACTTGTAATTTGTAGATGTCCTTGGCATCCTTTTCTTGTCTTTGTTAATACCTATTAACTGTAAATTGTAGAAGAAAGCATGTATTGTATTCTGTTACAATGAAATGAAAGTAGGCTTTATGATTTACTCACTTAGTGCTAAATATACCCACTTTCAAGCACTGGGGAAATCAGAAAATTCACGCAGTTCAAATGAGGATAGAGATTTATGCAGGCTTAAGTTCCCTACAAGAATCTGAACCACTAACAGTTGAGAGAAATTAATGGGAGTTAAGAATAGAAAGTCAAGATGGGCTGGACTTAGATCTCTTGTGGGCACGCAGGGATTCATGACTAACAAGACATTTGACCCTTCCTTCCCTCAGAATCAGCCCGGTTATCTCCTATATCTACCCCCTTAGAGGGAGGAAGCTATTCACCTGCACAATCATTCATCATAAAGAGACCAAAATTACCATAGTAATTTGTAGGTCACAAATACAGAGGACTTGGTTTAATTAGGATTTTTCAAATGTCCTTATTATACCGGCAACATTTTATATTAATACATTTTACCACAGTCACCATAATTACTACTAATTTGGTTTCCTATATTGCAGCAGTTGGGGAGTTATTATATAACTAAAAATGAATAAAATAATAAAATATCTTATAAAATGCTGAAATACTTCTTTGGCTTTCTCCAAACCTGCCTAACCCCCAGTGATATTGCATTTTGTTGGTTGGTTGGTTGCTTTATGTTAAAAAGGTGGTTTTTGGTCTGGGTGCAATTAGAGCTAGGCAACCAAAATATAAGTCTCTAGGATCATGTATGCACTAAAAGTGATTTCTGGATGGTACACAATTCAAAGAAATTGAAAGAATATACAATTTAAGTGTACGTCAACCATTATTAGGAATTTTTTTAGCAACAATCCAATCCTATGATTGTCCATAAAAGTATGCATAAGATACATTATAAATACTGACATTTTAAAAAACCAAATATCGTTTGATGAAACCATAAAAAATGTTTTCAAAAAGATGTCAACATTCTAAGCTATACACCCAATTGAATCGGGATTCCGACACATGAGACACTGCCAAACAACCCTTTATTGGCATTTAATGAGATAAAGATAGTTCTATGGGACTTTCACATTTCAGCGTCATAAGAAGGCTTGAAACTCCCAGCCCCCTTCAAGTGTTCTGAGTCATGCTGGTCAACCAGTAACTTCCCATTGATCCAGTCTCAGCAGAAGTTCGTTGTTACAACCAGAAGTGGTATTCAGCTGGTTTGGACTGGTTCAGTTGAACCGGTAGCAGAAATTGCGGGTGGGCCTGCCCACTTACCCCAGCTCTATGCTCTAGGCACATTTTTGAGGCCGGGTACATGTGCAGAAGGCATGCGCGTGAGCAAAGTGCATGCACAGAAGGCTGGACACATGTCTGGAAGGCGCACACAATCCCGCTTTGCATGCATATGCATGCAAAGGGGGTGGGCACACGTGTGGCAAATCAGTGGTAATGAAATGTGCAACCCACTGCTGGTTACAACCTTGATCCCCACGCTGGGTCTGACCGTTGCTATGTCTAGCTAGTTAAAGCATCACACACCACAAGAACCCCCTCTATGCTTCATTCCTCATCCCCTTCTCAGGTGTGGCAGCAACAAAACAGAGCACAGGTAAGCATGGCTTTGACCGATGCTGTTTCAAAAGTTGACAAAAGATTTTAGTTTAGAATGGTTTTTCAGTAACATATACATACAGTAAATTAGAAATTATTGGAATATATTAATTTATACTCACAAATGCATATAGGGATGTTTGCTGACCACTGGTTGTTCTCTTGACAAACAATAGTTTTTTCTCCAATCAATTCAAATCCAAACTGGCATTCAAAACGCAACACATCATGATTGGAAAACCCATCTCCTTCTCTGATGCCATACAACGGTGTTCCTGGATCTCCACAACTTTCTTTTTCAATCTCTGTTTAAAAAGACACAAGTTACTATCAATAAACTAACTATACCAATTTGAATGTATCAAAGAATATGAATCGAAGTGCAAATATCATAAGATACTGACTTTAGCACTAGCACGTCTTATCTAAAAAGTAAAAAAAAATGTTGCAAATGCACATGCACATCCCATGAAAAAGGAAAGTGTTTTAAGATTTACATTGCCAGAATTATATATATATATATATACACATGGGAGGAAGTTCACTACTTCCATTCTCTGTCCATCGGCTCGTCACAAGAGACCATCCAG